TATCATCTTCGTCTTCCGCAAAGCCATATCCTCGCGTCCATGCTGACGACAAGCCTTACGGCACTGCAAACTTGCCCAACACGACTGCACCTAGGGCAAAGTCGTCTAACGGGACTCACCACAGGCCTTCGCCTAGCCGCAGCGTAGTCACCAGACCGCTCGCAAGAGACCCAAAGATCGAGTCAGAATCGATGCGCGACTTTGCCGACTTCATCCGATCGACTGGCCCTTCACCCGGGCAGGAGAAGCCTGTGCAACCTTTTGTCAACATGAATGGACAGAATCCAAGTTCGAAGCCCAGCAACATCTCATCATCTTCACTCGGCCGGAAGCTATCTACCAGACGATCATCTTCTGTTAACGGAACTTCTGCAAAAGCACGTGCCAACATGGAGCCACGCAGTCCAGCAGGCCTAAGCACAGGCAATGGCGACTTGATTGACTTTATCAGACAAGGACCACCAGATGCGAACAATGGGCAACCTAGAATCCCTCGGAGTGTTGCCCCCTTCCGCAGCACCGTAGATTCCGATCAGTTTGACAGCATGCTGGAAGGCCATGGCAATGTTGAGTCAGCGTACGGCTCCGCAGCATCAACGCTAGAGTCGAAGAACAGTGCCCAGACCATCAATTCTCGAACTGGTCTCATTGCATCCCCTGGTGTTGTGCAGCCGGCCTATTCCAATACTCCAAAGCAGCTAAGCGGAAGCATGTCAGCCTCCAATGATGAACCTCAAGTCACGCGAACGAGGCGGCGCATCAAGGACCCATATGCGATTGACTTCTCAGATGAAGATGAGGATGAGGATGAAGACGAAGATCAGCTCACTGCACTTCCACCTAGCGGAACGCAAACACCCAGGCAGGCTCCGGCACAGCCACCGCGACAAGCTGCACCGAGACAGGAGAGTCTGATGGATTTCCTCAACGGCATGGAACCCCCATCGGCCAGCAAACCTCAGCCTTTTATGCTGAGTGAGGAGACTATTGCTGCTGCACGCGCGCGTGCAAATTCCTCGAAATCGCAGTCATACAATGGTAATGGTAGCGCGCATCCTGGCTCTTTGACTTCAACATCAATCACTTCCGATGCCGCACGTTCATACAAACCTCGCCTGCAAGCAAGGGCACCCGCATCTGGTGATGCCTGGGGTGGAGGCGCACGCACAGCCACGAGCGACCTAGCCGACTTCCTCATGAACTCTGGGCCACCCGAGCCACCAGTCACTCGTGCTGCGCCAGTCAAAGAAGAGAAGAAGAGCAGGAGGTTCTGGCGCAGCAAAAAGACGTATGGTGATTTGCCGTAATCATCAGACCGTTGTGACACGAGTGGAACATGGGACATACAGCTTGCTTTTTTACATGACTTCAAATCGCTCGCTAAATAGATTTATTTCATACTTGTTTTTGAGAAAGAGAAGGAAAGATGAGGCAAGGGGACGACTACGGATTGTTGTTTCTGAACGGACTTTCTGAACGGACGATGGCTTTTCGATACCCACTTTTTGCATGCCATGCCCATGCTAACACGGAGTTTGAGTTTGTTCAATGTTATCGGCATGGGTCGAGATTGGAATTCGATAGGCTTCATAGCGCTGATCTAGAATCTAACAATATCCACCCGATAATGACTTTTCTACTTGTACATACATCCAAAGATGTTTTTTAGAGTTCCCGGGAATGGCCTGGTGGGTTATTTCCGAATCCGCATGGCTCGCCTCGCCTCCCACTTCCCTAGATCCCCCCGGCTACATCCGCAAACTTTATCCTAGTGTACAATAAAAGCTGTCCAAGAACACGTCCAAACATGTCACTGTATACGTACGACCACTCGCCGGGCAACATTGAAAGGTTGTTGACAGAACTGCGTAAGAATGGCATTGAATACATGCTTGATACCCACGAGCGCGATGCCAAAGCCAACACCACGCATTCGCCCGCAGCCCCTCACGAGACACCGTTAGCGGTTCTTTTCCCTACTTCAACACAGCAAACATCGATTATCCTCAAATCATGCAACGACCGGCTGATCGCGGTGACATCGTTCTCCGGCGGAACGAGTTTCGGCGGCGCACTCACAGCGAGTCGCAATGGCGTGTGCGTTAGTTTTGAGCGCATGAAAGAGATTATCGCGGTGCATGAAGATGATATGGATGTTGTGGTGCAGCCAGGACTGGGATGGATGGAGTTGAATGAGAAGTTGGAAAGTAAGGGCTTGTTTTTTCCGGTTGATCCTGCGCCTGGGGCGAAGATTGGGGGGATGGTGAGTTCTTCTTCTTCTACCTTTTCACGCATCCTCTCTCTTCGTTTTCCTCGATGTTGGAAAAGCTGTATGCTAAAATACAAGGGATAATGTAGATAGCAATGTCCTGCTCAGGCACAAACGCCTACCGCTACGGCACCATGAAAGAAAACGTCATTTCCCTCACTTGCGTGCTAGCCTCTGGTCGCATTATTAAAACCCATCAACGGCCCCGCAAATCCTCTGCGGGATACGACCTCACTCACCTTCTCATCGGCTCCGAAGGTACTCTCGGACTCGTCACAGAAGCGGTGTTACGCCTTTCCCTACTCCCCAAGAACCTGCATGTGGGTCTCGCTAGGTTCCCTTCTTTCCAGTCCGGGGTGGATTTCGTTGTTGAACTCCAGAAAACAGGGCACGTGCTGGAAGCCTTGGAGCTAGCAGACGGCCCGCAAATGCAGTGTGTCAATGTCTCGCGTCTATCTAGCATCAAGTGGACCGAGATCCCGACTCTGTTCTTCAAAATCGCGGGACCATCGATCGAGCTTGTGAGGGAGCAACAGCGTATCGTGACCGAGTTGTGTCTCAAGCATTCTGCGCGTAGGTTCCAAATCGCATCGCAAGAGACACATGGTGAGAGCGCAAGTGTTATTTGGCAAGCGCGGAAATGCATGGGACAAGCACTTGTTTGTATGAAGAAGAGCCCCTCGGATGTGTTTCTGCATTCAGACTGCGCGGTTCCTATATCCAAACTTTCAGACCTCGTTCAGGGCACGCAGGCACTCATTTCCAAAGCTGCTGCTGCGACAGGGAACCAAGGAAGTTGGTTCTGCGCTAATGTTGGACATGTCGGGGATGGCAATGTGCATTCTGCAATTATTTGTCCTGCAGCTGATCGCCGGGCCGCAGAGGCGGTGTTGAGGGATGTGGCAAGGTTGGCGCTGAGTCTTGAAGGGACGATTACGGGGGAGCATGGTGTTGGACTGGAGTTGAGGGATGCGTTGGAGGAGGAGGTTGGGAGGAGTGGAGTTGAGGGTATGAGGGCTATCAAGGCGGCATGGGATCAGAAGGGGATATTAAATCCGGACAAGGTTTTTATGCTTGAGGGCGGGAAGATGGAGAAACTTTGATGGGCATGGGTGTTAGGATAATGATGGGTGTTCTTTTTTAGAAATGACAACTTTGTGTTTGAGTGTAATTGATGGATTTTCCAGAACAAGAGCTGACAGGGTTGGCAGATCGCATAGCATCTTTCTAACAACTCGGGAAGTCTAGCGTAGATTTTTAAGCAACAACCATATATAGATGTAAGGTGGCTGATATCTCCTGCATACAAAGGATGCAGAAAGCTTCGTGCGATTAGTCTTGCATGCTTCTCAGCCTCGAATAGGGAAAGTATGTCAATAAACTAATGTAAGTCCAGGCTGAATGAAAACCTCTATACACTCGCGCAACACACACTCAAAAAACCAGCTGAAATCGAGTCGCACCACGATAGTTGGCTGCTAATCTTCCCAGCCCTTCATCTCGCACTGTCTGCACTGCTTTTTTCCTTCTTCGGTATAGCATAGTATCGGCTGCGGGAGTCCCAACGGCCTTGGACTTGGTTCCTCCACAGCATTCCTATCCCTGCATTAAGCCCTGGTTCTCCACAACCACTATTTCCTTTTCAGGCTGAACACCGACGGTCCAATTATTCGCCCTTCATGGCAAACCGCAACGACGACACTTCAAGGATGCTGAGGCTGGTTGCCTTAATACCAGTCTTTTCCTACCCCCGCAATCATCATGCAGTCGCCGCTAGTTTTTGCATGTGTAACCAACGCCTCTAGACTAGTAAAGAAAAGGTAAGAGGGAGCGCCCATTGCAGCCTTGTCGATGTTCAAAAAAAATCTGGAACCGTCCTCTCTAGTATTACTACCCGCAGGAAAAAGAAAGAACGCCCAGCAAATAAGTGGTGGAGATGGGCCAAGTCCCCTAGCATGCAGGGTGTTAAGTCTATCCTTGCTTTAACGGTCGCTTGGCACACAGCCGCACTTGGATTGATTTGAAACTGTACTCCGCGACGAGTAATAGATCTAGAGTTGGTAACAGTATAATCTCGACCGGATACCGATGCTTGGGTGCCATCATACTTACCCGACTCTGCCAATAGAAGGAGGTTTCCCCAAACGATTTATCGAATGCGATGGCGATCCGCAAGCCGCTCCATACTATGCTGAGTCATGCATACATGTGCGCCTTTGAATGGCTGTGTAATTGGCATCCTTCCGCACCTAACGCTAGTGGTACGACATTGGCGCGCATGTGCAGAATTGGCGAGCAGGGGGGCGGGAAGTTCTATATGCGGCTCTAGCGACACCACGCGCTTCTATCTAGATAAGCTAATTCATTTTGAAAACTAGTAATACTTATTTAACTACATTCAGAATCCTATAATTATATTTAAAGATTTGTTTAAGTACTAGTTGTTATGGGCGGAGAGGCCTAGCGAATGAGTATGCTTCTACCTATCGTACAGAAGCTAAAAGATAAGAAAAAGAGAAGATAACTAAGTACAGACTTCTCTTATACCTGCTCGCTTCTGATCACGTGTCCGTACAGAAGGTATATCACGTGGTCGAAGATCACGTGATCCTCTTCAGTAGAGATCACGGGCGCAGCCCTTTACAATACTCCCCTCCTCCACTCGTACGGACATGTTTGCGTTTGTTTGTTTTCCTAGGAGCACGCGGCTGCCTAACTTGCGGTGGAGCAGCGGCGTTTGTTTGCTCTAGTGAAGGAGGATTTCCACGAGAGCAAACGCTCCCTCCGTACGATATGTAGAGCTGCCGTCTCTCTCCTTCAGCTTTTTCTTCCTTTGTGTTAAATCAATTTGACTCCACTACTACACAGATTTCTTCTTTTCTTTCTGACCACACTCGTACGATGCCGCCGAAAGCGCAACCACCCCCTCGCGGTGTTTGGGCCAACGCAAACACCAACAGTTTGCAGTTTTGCACTGACGGTGGCCCCAATGACACTATTAACAACGTGGCTAACCAAATCTTCGACGCTGCCCACCAGGCTCTGACTCGTACGACGCTAGGCGCTATACTGCCAACTTTCAACATGCCAGCGCTGTCACCTGAACGAGTATCGTGTCTAGTTTATCTTCGATCAGCGCGTCGCAGATGAGCTGCCGCCGTGTTATGCGGTGCCCCTGT